AAAAAACATCTACTAATGCTGGAAAGTGAAAACACTGTAAAGGGAATCTAGAAGAGAAAAAATCATTTAAGATCAATAGCCTTTACAAAATCCAATCCAGCATGAGAAAGGTATTGAATTAGCTTGGAAGAAACTCTATAAAATCCTGATATGAACTGTAAGTTCTCCTTATTGAACAATAAATTGGTACAATGCTCAGAACTGAGACAAAACAAGCAACTATATCAATCTACTGCATTCATTTATAAACTAATCTACCAATACTGCTCCTGGCTATCTGTTGGTATGAGAAAATGTGACAACAGAATGCAGACAGAGTACTTGGACATGGATAGCTAAGTATGTCAAATTTTGTACCATAAGACATCATAGATGTGCTATGGATGTGCTTTGGGATGTGCATGACCCAAAGGCTGAACTTAAGAACTTGTCTCAACAGTTGTGTTTATTATTAGTATTAATATTAATATTAATTCTTTCAACAGTGAAATGAAGATTGTAACAAAGGTTTGGTTTTTCATTTCTCCCATCCAGTCTCCATTTTCAGCTTGTTTTGAATTAGGTTCATTTTGCCCAGGAGAACTAATTACATACCAGGAATACTTAATATACATACTGTTGATGCTTTGCTTTCTTACTGGACTTTTGATTTGCAACTGACAAAAACAAAATCATAGGAGCAGCAAGAGCTTCTGCCTGTGCCTCTACAGTTTCTGCTTTTTCCATGGTCAAAATATATAAAACATCATTTTATCTATCAAAATTGCAGAAAAAATAATATGACAGTCCAGCCATGACTGGATGTTTAATTTCACCCTTTTCTAACCTTCAGCAAGGAGCTCCCACTTTTCTGTCAGGACACATATTCAAAACCCATGGAATTAAAATAATATTATCTTCCAAAATCCACATTTCCCTTTGGAAATGGTTGGGTCATTCTTAACTAGCAGTCATTACTTAGGCATGATGTTTTTTAAATGATCATGCCTACAATATACAGGGAACACCCTCACACATGGAGTGTAATCTTCCTCCTGTCAGTGCTACCTTAGCCAGAAACGGGCTTCTTCCCTGCAGCCAACTCAAACAGTCATCATAGACCTGGTGCTTGTGTTTTCAGCCAAGATTAAATTGACCGAATTGTTTAAAGAAAGCTAAGCTTGTGTACAAAAGCATTTGGACAGAGTGTCAGCAAAGTCAAATGCTGACATAAGCAGAAGCTGGCTACCCAAAGGCTGTCTCTGAAGTTCAGTTCTATCTTATTTAAAACAGCTCCTATTTTGAAATTGAAGCAGTCACAGAACAATACTTATTAGATGTTCATTTAAATTAATTTAGAGCAGGAGGAAAGCTCTTGGTCTACATGTCAGGAAAAACTCTGTCCCATGTTCTGACATCCTACCTACCAAGTACATTGGTTGACCAACATAACCACAGCTAAAATCACAGTCAGTATCAGTTTTTTAGCTGTAAACTAAGAAACTAGAACATTTGTCTCATTCCCTGATAAATTGCTTTTGAATTTTATGCATAGCTTATTTTTAACAGTTTTATTTTAGCAGATAAATAATAGCTGAGTTCTATGGCAATTAAATTCTACCCTTCAAATAAAACAAGTTTAATAATAGTTCTCTGCATCCAGTGATTCAGGCACTGTGTATTTTGGTGGGGTGAGGGGAGGGAGTGCAGACCTGTAAATGTTGAAAACAAAGGCATGCATTTGGTGGTGTAATATTATCTTGCATGTAACTCATGTAAAGCCAGAGCTAAGGTCACACCTAAAGCCTCTCCATAGCCCCTGTGGCTTTGGAGTGCAAACACACAGGTAAGGCTGAGCAGGGGACGGTGGCATGGGGTCAGTACAAGAAGTGAGTGAGAGAAGGGATGAAAAATTGCCCAGTAACAGAAAATGATAAGTTGGAACTGGAGTGAAAATGGTCGTCTCACAGGGGCGTTTGATGAGGAAACTCAACAGCTTTACAAGCATCCTGAGACTGTGTGGCTAGTGGACAGGCATTTTGTCCAGAACTAAAAATCCCTGAGATCTCAGGGGAATGGAGTTATGCACTTGTAATTCATACTTACAGAATTCATATCCAGCTGTAGTCTTAGAGCTTTAAATTAGGCTGGAGAAAGGCAAATTTCCCCATAGCCTTACCTTCCCTGTTACAGCATAAATGAGGCAATAAAGATTTAACACATTCCATAATTAACTCAGAGGCCAGTAGCAGTCTGAAATGAGTGAAGTGAGATGGACACTAAATGATGGGGCTTTACAGTTATTACTAACTTGATTTGTAAGAAATGACTAAACATGATTCAGGACCATGAAAGTGATCTATAGCTTCATAAAGTGGTGCATTGACACAAGGGAGCAATAAAAGTCTTTCCACATGAAAGATGATACCTAATGAATATGATGACCTGTGTTTCTTCTACAAGTCCTGCAGCTTCAATATATATATTCTGTTTATAACACAGGTAAATGAAGATACATATTGGTAAAGCTCTAAATAAAGTTATATCTTTTAAAATGCTTCAGTGATGTACTTGCAGGTTTATCATTCTGCACAGCTCCTGTACAGTGTCCGGGGCTGCAGAGAAGCAAGACCCCTCCACACAGCAACCTGCAGCTACTTTTTGGTAGCTTTTGTGGTTTTATTGCTCAAATCAAATAAATGAAAGATTTTTTTTTTAATATAAGAGTGTGCTAAGAGAACGCAGAATATCTCAAGAAAATTATCAGAGCACAAAGTCTGTTGTTTATTTGGCAGAACAAAGAAAAGATGATCGTATTTATAATCAATTGTAGATGTGCACATATTTAGATTTTCTAGCTGCGAGACAGCATTATATTATTCTGACAATGAAGACATTACAGGGAAGAATAAGTGTGAAAGAGTGCAAAAAATTGGTGTATATAGGGTGTTGCTCTCTTTCAACACATAACAGAGACACTAAGGCTTCTGAGGGGAAAAAAAACCTACAAAATTTTTCAACATTTTAGTTATTTAAATAAATACAATTTATTTAAAACATTGATTTTTTTTTTGTTTTGTTAATATGCACTCTAAAGATTAACATCAGCCACAAATTTTTGTTGGTGGGGGACACTTAAAATATTCTAAAATCAATAATACCTCAAAATAGATTATAGAAAACAGCCATACACTTAAGCCACATAATTTGTCCCCTAAATACCACAACACCTTAAAAAAAAATCTATGAAATACTGACCATGCCTCTTGTGTGCTTGAATTCACAAATCAGAAAAGAGGTAACAAGCTGAATCCTATGTTGCTTTAACTCACTTTCTCTCCAGAGACTGCAAATCTAGTACAGCCAATATTTCAGCCCTTCTAGACTTTTTCCTTTTGCTAGGCTTCTGTGCCTGTTTTTTGTAATATGTGACTACCTCTGTAATATAGGGTGTAAAACTGAATATGAATGTCCCACTTTTTAGACTGTAATGCCACATGTATGTGTCTGGAATGATTTCCTCTCTCTTATTTTCTGTGTCCCTGTACATGCTTTCTGGAACTTTCCTGTTTGACTGCAGAAATACATTTTTCTGACAGTTTTGTGGCTCTGTTTATTGTGTTTGTGATCCCATGTCCTTTTCCGCTTTCTGCCAAATATGCCCATTTAATATGCACTGTCTCTGACTGCTTTTAACCACAATGCTCTTAACCTTGCACTTGCATATTTTTAAAAAGGCAAAACCATGGAGATCTCCCTCCTTCTGTCGAGCTAAATACACAGTGTGGGTTTTCTCATGATAGTAATAATAGTAATTATATTTAGCAGTCATCAAAGAACACTGCAGATCTGACCAATTCAGTGTAACACCACACACAGCAAGGACTTGTTTTGGGGTAAAAAAATCAAGGCATTATAATAATTTTGCTAGAACATATGCATCATTTAATGGTGTGCACACAGCTGCTCAATGGGTTAAACGACATTAAGCATGCACAGAACAGAGGAGTATCTTTAGATCCTGAGAGGATTAGCTGTCGGCTGTGCCTATCCAAAACTGCAGATCACCTCTCTTAAATTTTACATTAATTGCTAGCCTGTCCAAAGTGTACTTTGTAATATCAGGAATCAACTGTCCTGTTGCTCTCACTTTTCTTCTTCCCCTTGCTCATAAACATAATGATTCTGTTGCAAGATCTCCCCAGCAAAGCTAAGAAGGGAGGAATGCAATCCCAGTGCATATATCAGGGGTGTGAAGCTGAAGAAGCAACATATTCAAGAAGGTGCTTTTGTATTTTTGAAATAAATGTGGTGTTATTAAAAAAAATTTGTTTTTTGCATTTGCAAGAATGGAAAGAATGCAAAATTTTGATTTGCAAGAAAAGGAGAATAGACAAGCTGTTTCTCTAGGTTTTGGGCAGCACCTTTACGCCATATCCTCATTCACACATTACAAAGTCCTACTCTTCTGGCCACAGGTGGCAAACTTTCTCTAGATAAAGTGTATATAAATATTCTCTGTGCCTTTTTTCAGCTATCAGCACTGCAAAATGTGGAATAATTGAACCAACGGTTACAGAAGCATTACAATGCAATGACTGACACTTAGGCTACTCTCCAGCTACAGTTTTCCTGAAAATCTCCATATTTCAATGCAAAAGACTGTAACAGACCCCTCTGCATTTGAAGTATTCTCTGCTTTTTGAGTGTCTCATTACGTCACGGATTTTGTCCAGGACACTGGCCATCCTCCTTCACTCCCCTTGATCCACTTCAGCCTCCAAAACTGTTGGCTGGGCTGGCAACAAGCTCTGCTCATTTTAAAAGACACTATAGCTGTGATCTGCACCACACTGCATGGCTCATTGTTTCTACAGACACTTTAAACCAGATCCAAGTCACTTCTGTGAAGCCTAAAGGACACCTGTGAGCTTGAGGGGCAGGTGTAGCTCACTGTGGCAGGTGTAGCTCACAGAGAATGACGTGTGGCGACAGAAAAGCAGTCGCAGCAGTGGCCTCATGCAGTTTCAGAAGAGAGACTCCCCAGCAAGGAGAAAGAAGCAAGAGAGGCACTGGAGACCAGTTGGATGTCAGGGAGAAGCACAGATCAGTTTCAGAAGTAAGAGAAAAGCCATCAGAGATGTCCTGTAAATATGCACATTCACAGGCTTTTTAAGTAGAGTGGCTAGCTGATATATAAAGCTAGAAAACACCGTATGCCTGAAAAACTACAAAACCAACAAAAACTGTGTATGCAATGACATCAGAGAAATACTCAATCCCATCTCAGTCATACAGCCTTTTAGGCCAATTTTACAACAGGTAATGCACTTGATGGGGGAAGTTGGCTGCATAGTTGTTATTAATTATTTGGGAAATGGATGGAGGTTCAGCTTAGTTTCACCTTTCCAAACACACTGTTGATTGGAATAAATTAGCACCATTGCTGCTTGTGCCTACAGCTTGTTTTTAAAAATCCCTGCCAAGTGGCAGTGGGAAGAAAACTTGTAATGTCTCTGTCAACAGTGAAGAAAGGGCATTTTACTCAGAAACAAAGACTACTTGCCTCAGGGCAGCTTCTGGGGTGGAAAGAAATAATGAAAATGGCTGTAGACCTGATCAAAACTCTTAGCCTCTAAAGTGAGTATTTTACACTCTTTTTTTTACTCCGACAAATCATATTTGCTGGGCCGAGTCGTGGTCAGCTCTTATCCTTCCCCATGTATCTACATAGGCACAATCCATAGTTGCTCAAAATCAAATTCAGGTCACTTAAAATCCAAGCTGCACTGGCCGCCATTCAGGTCAAATCAAGGCTTTGAAGAAGTTTAGACAAACTCAGGTCTGAAGTTGTGTATCTGTTTTAGAGAGGTTCTTCATAAATTTGGCAGGAATTTCAGGCAAAGTGATGTGGCATGTCCGTATGTCTTCAAGAGAGAAGCTGAATGCTAGGGCAGACCTAGGATACAGCACACAGCAAAATACCCACTCCTAAAACAGACACGACTTAGAAGGGCCACACTGCAGCAGTGGATTTCCTCATCTATTTCCTCCATGGAAACATGGCAGATGAGTCTGGGACAAAGGCTCACTCGTGCAGGATCCCTTCACAGACCAAGCCAATGGCTGTGGAACTGGAGAAGTCCAGGGTAAGTCTTCTGTCCCCTATCCCTCTGACTCTGTGTGTGCGCTCAGAGGGGCCTCAGGAGCACAGCTCGCCGGCATCCATATTTTGTGCTGTACCCAGCCATTTATTTCTAAATCAGAAATAGCCCTGAGGTTGACTTCATGTCTTCTCTCTTATTTAGCAAATGGGACTGTGCATCACTGGCAGTATTCTCTTTAGGATCCAGTCATGAACAACCAGTGCAGATAAGATCACATCAGATATCCCATCAGTTCAGAGTTCAGTAATTAGACTCAGGATGGATTTTGTTTCTGCTTGCAGTTAGAATTTTCTTTTTTCTAAATTTCAGAGATGAGCAGAAAATGGAAAACATATTTTAGAACCATGTTGTGTCAAAAAAATGTTTTCTTCATTTTTTTAATCAAATTTAGTCTTGGTCAAGGTTTTCCAAGTAAACACGAGAAATTATTTGGCCAAATTAATCCCGAGTGTATCTTAGCCTCTTGCACTGAAGGATTTAGCACAGAGCCAAGAAGTTCAGGATGTCGGAAGAAAATGTTTTCGGAGTTACTAAATTACAGTCTCCATAGTGATTTTCTTGCCATATGTTAAACAAGCAAGAAGACAAAACACACTGGGGAAGATTCACTTCTCGCAAAAATAAGCAGAATTATAAAGGAGCAAACTTTCACTCACTTGTGTGTAGACATTGTTTCAGTGAAGAATAGATTATACCCTGACAAAATAGCTTCAGTTTTCTGTGGTGAAGCATCTCACAGTAATTTTGAGAGGGTTTGTAAGGAAAGGTGTCTAGGGAAAGGGATAGGACAAGTAGGAGATTGGGGGAGGGAGAGCCATGGCAAGAGGTAGGGAGAAAGAGGTTTTTTTATGATGTTTTTTGCTATAAGACATAAAGTTGTTCAAAGCTGGAGTTCAAAAGTGCACGAGGTTTCAAATAAAGCCTTGCTGCTGACATTTTAAAGGACTTTTCTTAAATTACGGCAACTGCAAGCACCACCTGCCTTCCTTGTATAACAGAAATACTAACATTTATGTAGCTTACTGGATTATTTTGAAAGTTAATTACTTGCTATCACTATTACTTGCTATTACTTGGAATTTTAGATGTCCAAGCAATAATAGAGTTATATGTGCTTATATTTATTTCACAAGTCAATAATAAATTTTTATATGGACTACTAGTATAGTCCAAAAATCTTTACAGATATATTTAATACTAACTATATGTTTAAACATAATTTTTATATTGAAGAAAATGAGATTAAGATGCTTTCAAAAGTTCTTCTTTAGAGATCTGCAGTTGGGAAGAAACAGAGAGGCAAAGCTTTTACATGTGTAGTTTATTTTATGTGATGTATTTTAATTGTATGTGCATTAACATGTATTGTATTTGTTACATTGGACTCCAGGGCATCTCACAATACTTTGAGACTTCCTAAAGAAAGCTTGAAGTAATTTTCAATCTTTTAGTCATCATACTGAAAGTTCTATAGAATACTTGAAATGACTACCCAAAGCATTCAGGCTCTAGAAAATAGGCATCTATTTTCAGAAAAGCCCATCAGGAAGTTGGTGTCTTTCCTTATTTTCTGTTTTTTACTGTTGCAATATGATGAATGGATTATGTGGGTTAGTGAGTCATTTGCAGAAAACCAAAATTTTGCTTGAGTAGTAAATAATGAGTGAAGAACAACACCAAGAAAAAGAATAGAAAATATAATTAATTTTCTGGGAGCATACATATAGGGATTTCATCCTAACACCTGTTGGAGGAAAAAAGATGTCTGTGCACATTCAAGACATGGCCTTAAACACTACTGAGACCCTAAAAATATTAATCAGAATTTTTCTTTTGCTATTATTTTCTCTCTAAGACAGCTTTTTGTTTTTCCCAGTTCCCCTTTACCTCATAATGCATACCTCCTGGAAGGAAGAAAGGAAGACAGGAAGGAAGGGAGGGGGACCAGAAGGAAGGATTTGCATTATTTTTCATGAATACTAGTGCAAAGGAGAAGAAACTTCTCAGAAGTCATTGAGACTATGCTGCAATAAGCAGTTTTGAGGTCATGATCACTTTAAGGAAATATCTGGCTTGAAGAACATACAAAATGTGTTTGGGTGGATTGGGAAAACTACAGTCTGGTTAGGTTTTTGCCTTGGTGCAAGGAACTGTCTGGCTAGACCTGGCTTTGTTATAGCTGAGGTAAGGACAGGCATGTACTCAGAAAGCAGATTCAAGAGAAAAGCATCTCAGGCAGCCTCTCAAACTGCTGCCTCCCTGGATTTTGAACAGTTTTGCTATTTTGTGGTAGACTTGTGTTATCTTCAAGCTGTAATTTGGACTATCTGTACTGCAAAATAAACAGCTTATTTATGCGGTTAAATTTTGCACTAGATTAGTACAATGGATGCTGGGCACACGGATTGGCAGTGTGGGGAGGGAAAACCAAGTTTTGGGCTGCACTAAGGTCTTCCAACTAATATGTAGAAAACAGTTTGGAAAGCCAATTGTGAAGCCATAGGCTTGGGTCTTAGGGTACAGAATGCTCTTCAAATGCTTGGTTTACAGCTTCCAGAGAAAACTCTCTGGAGTTCTCCAGCTTCTGGAAATGTTGAAAATGCCTGTGAATGGCTTTGCTTACAGTATATCACAACTTTTCATCCTCTCCAAACTGCAGATATAAAGTCACAATGGGGTGAAAGTAAAATAATATTGGTATGGTATTTAGAGCCTCATCTAGGTACAGCTAGCAGAAAGAATTAAAAAAAGTATTTAATGTTGTGATATTCAAGACAAGTAATGAGGGTTCAGCCACTCTCAGCTCTAGGAATACCACAAAAGCGGTTAGAGTTCATGTCCAAAATTACTACAGTACAATACTAATTGGAAGCATATCACACCTTGGGAGAATGCAGGAGAAATATGAACAACAGTAACAAAATAATACCATGTTTAGCCTAAATAGTTGTTGTATGGGCATAAAGTTTTGTAACACTGCAAGATATTATCCCACTTTCATGTCTTAGTGGCTAAACACAGACAGATGTTACTGACAAAACCAATATTCTTCAGAAACATTATCGTGTCTTCAGTCGTGTATTTTTTAACCAAGTTATTTACATCCTGAAATAATTCTTTTGCAAAGTCCAATTTATGTTTGCATAGGCATGCTGATGAAAAGCACTCACATGATGACACAGGCATATGTTTATTTAGAGTTGGTTAGACTAGAGAAAGCATGACCTGCTCAGAGCAGAGGATGGTGGGAGTAACAGAATTTCTACAGCCATCAAATTGCTTCTGCCTGTACTAGAAAAGGCAGAGTGCAGACATTCAACGCTACTTTTTACCACAGTAATCAGTCTCTGCATCCTCTTCTTTCCCTGCCATGGTCTTGTAAATGAGACTCCAGCTCCCATTGCAGGAGGAGGTGAGTGGAAGCATGCAGAGCTCATGCAGAGCATGCAGAGCTTTGGATTCTAAACATGGGTCTCTAGCGACATTGCAGCAGGTATTGGAGAAAGGTGCTGTTGGTTGCAAAGAATAGGTTAAAGGAGGAAACTTTCTGCTTCTCACACATTCCTACAGCCACATCCAGCCCTTGTAAGCACTCTAAGCCTGTTTCTTGGGTTAGAAAACCCAGGTTTTCTAGTGAGCATATTTATTTGCCGAGTCTGTGCTTATTTTCCCTTTCAATATTGTTATTATTTTTATATTTGCAATGAGAAGTAAAGGTGGAGAGCATAGCCATATCAGATTGCCTTTGGCTGAATCCCAGAATGATTACTTTTAAAAAATGATGAAAATTTAGGTTAAATACTATTACCAATAATCTTGTTCTCTTTGTTCTCACAAGTTTGCAAACTGTTGGCCATGTTTCAGAGCAATCATGACCTAAAAAATAGTTTAGCCAAGCCCACTGAAACTGACAAGATAAACAGAAAGAGGACGTAAATAATCTGATTCATAATTTTTAAACATATAAATTCACTCATTGGGTCAGATTTGTTAATAATATTCTAGTTACTTCTAGATTTAGAATGCCTTATTCCAGGAAAGATCTCACTGAAAAGCAGTAATAGATTTTGCAGCTTTTAAAATTGTTGCATTTTTTAAAAAAAGCTTTCAATCACTAATTTAATGCTTGCAATGTTATCAAAATTGATTACCAAAAAGAATCACAGACACAGTCATAGCAAATACCTTATAGCGCAGTGAGAATTAACTCATGTGACTGAAGCAGTAAAGTAAATGAGCCACAAACTGATGGTATTCAAATCCAAATGAAGCAGACTATGTGATTTTACAAGCATTTTGAATATTGCCACCTAATTTTGGCCCAGGTCTCCCCCTTCCCTTTAATTCCTATGCAGAAGCTTCAGCTCCAGAATTATGTGTGCCAGTTAATACCTGTAATATTTTTCTAGCAGAGGTCACCTAGGGTTTGGATGAAGTCAGATGGTTGCATACCTCCTACACAGGCTGTGAGATGGCTAGATAAGAGCTTGTTCATAGACCAGAGTGTGTGCACAAACACAGCTTCCAAAAAGAACCAGGAAGACCTTTCCCCATCATTGTCTTACTCTTTAGTTAACAATACATCTATAAAAACAATTTAACTTGATTTGTTCAGGCATCATCATTTTAAAACAACTGCACAGTGCAGATAATCTCTTATGTAAGTGCAAGGTAACCTAAAAGGGGCTTAAAGTAAGCTGTGGCCTTGCTCACATCTTCCCACTTAAAAAAGTCAGTTTAGGAATCAGGAGTAGCTTCCCTCGCAGTTTCTGCCTTCTCAATATTCTGCTCACAGTTCACACAACTGCTTCCAGGATCCCAGCAAATGTATAGCTGAGCCAGTTCAGACACAATTGCCCCTTGCAAACTGGAATCGTTCTCATGAGCTTTGGATAGCTGACTAATTCCTGCTGAGAATAACACTGCTTTCCCTTTCTTTACAGTCTATTTATACTCCAATTTTTTTTTCAAGTTTAAGAGACTTATACTCCATAGCACTCCCAGAGACATATTCAGCCCTGCAATATTCAGCCCAATATGTTTCTGATTTAACTTTGCCTTCCTTTATTTTCAAAACAAATAGTTTCATCTGCTTTTCACCCATGAGAACATTTTTGCAGTCATTTCTCACTTCATTTTGTTCAGCTAAGGGACTCAGTGCTCTCAGGTTAAAACAAAAGGTGAATGGGTCCATTTGAAAGATGGTTTAAATGCTGCCTTCTTGCATCTCACAGTCTAAAGTGACCCTCTGCATTGTTTACAAAGATAATTATGTGAAAGAAAGTAGAAACAATATTTTAATTAACACACCAGTAACACTACAGCTTATTTCTGTGGTTTGTCTATTATAATTTGCCATGTGGTGCTTTCTTATGTTAAAACAGAACAGAAAAAAAAAAAGCTTTCTGATTTGCACTGCTGGAATGATAAGGTGATATCTCTATATAGAGATTATATGTTAACTCCTTTTAAGTCTTACACTTGCCATGCAAGGTGAGTGCATCTGTTTTCATGTTTTGCTCTGCACTCAAATATATGTTTAGAAGCATTTATCAGAAACAAAATCACTAGATTTATCACCAGGACCTTCTTTCCCCATTGAGCACATATTTCTGTAGAAGTATTGTTAGAGAGTTACATTACTATATTTCTTGCTACACTGGGAGTCCAAAAGCAAGAACACATGAGTCTGACGAGCTTGGGTATGGTTTCCTGAATCAATAGTACTTCTTCAGCAGAGACCTAGTAACAGACAATTGCATAATGAAGCTGTCTGTCTTTATTTACACAATGTATTACTGTATTCAGCAGGCCAGAAAGAATAGTTCTGTGTAGCAGCTGTCATTGTGTTTTTTTGCTTATCTCTGTCCTGTCTGCCAATGTTATAATTCACCAGCTGACACCCGTCTTGGCAGGGACCAAGCGCGGTGACTCGGTGCCAGAGCGACAACAGTGCTCTGAACTATGACACGATTCATCCCCATCCCAGTCAGCAGCAGCTTGCTCTTCTGGCATCTGCACTTTTTTGGTTTTTTTTCTTTTTTAGCTCTACAGCCATGGGGGGCAAAGCAAGCAAGCTCTGGGGGAGCAGTTGTGGTTCTGTCACAGACCATGCTGGGGTACAACAGGAAAGAAGGCAGGGTCAGTTGTGAAGGGTGATGGATACCCAGCAGATATTCTGAATGGTCTGGTCTCGAGGAATCAAGAGGGGACGAGGTCAGACTGCAAAAGCAGAATTCAAGGCACTCTGTCACAAGACCTGAGGTACAATGGTGGATGTTTCTGACCCTGCTTTTGCTCAGAAGGGCAGAAGCTCCTTGAATCCAGTGAGAGTGTTGGCTGCATCAGGGGTGACGATGGGAAAGACAGGCACCAAGTAAAAATTCTTGCATACTTTTGAAAAGGAAACATGGAAATCTGACAAATTTTTTTAATCAAAATTTCCATGAACACTATTCCCTAACATTCTAGTTCTGCTCTTTGAATATTCATAGGAAATAAAAATATATTATAACACTGATGAAAGAAATGCTTTTTTTCACTTGTTTGGGGTATGTTATGCCAAAATTTCTTTCTGTATCTGTTTCTCAAAGGATGCAAAGCTACAACAACTGTCAATTGTATATTCATAGACTTGTCTGAGTGAGAAAGTTGCACTTCAACCAGCATATAACTCACATGGAATGTTATTTCAGTTTAAGAAGCACATTTGTTAATCAACTGAAGTCAATCAGAAATAAAATAAAAGCTTGAAACTGAAATTTCACCACCAGGCAATTCTGTGATTCAAACTGTAAGGTAAGATTTTCTCATTCAAGCAGCACTCTGGTTTAGTGAAAGAATCTCAGGTGGATCATGCTTTCATTGTCAGAAATCCTATGATGAATCATAATAGTGACCAAAGTAGCTGTGAATTTTTTTTTCCCCTCTGGGCTTTCTAAGTCCTTCATGTGAAGGAGGAACAGGAAAATAAAAGAGATAGAGAAAAAAGGAAAAAAGAGAAGGAGAAGGAGAAGGAGAAGGAGAAGGAGAAGGAGAAGGAGAAGGAGAAGGAGAAGGAGAAGGAGAAGGAGAAGGAAAAGCAAAAAAATTAATTAGAGTGAGCAGGACAGTCAGAAGAGTGGTAACCCCAGTCCTAGGGGCACTTTTTGCACCAGGACACGCCTGATGACATTTAGAACTGTGCTAAAAATATGCTAAGAGAGAAGGGAAGTTAGTGGAGCAGGATGTCATTGCCCTGGAGAACTTCCATTGTGTTGCATCCTGATAGGCTCCCACTGCCAAGTGCACAACAGCATCCAGGTACCCAAGCATGGTTCAGGGGAAAAGGGTTCCAGGGAAAGCAGTGACATCAGGCTGGTGACCTGTCACTAGCAGGGTTCCACAGGGCTCCATCCTGTGCTCTTCAACCTCTTCATAAATGACTTGGATGCAGGGCTGGAAGGGACACTGAGCAAGTTCACAGATGATACAAGACCAGAAATGTCAAAGAAAGGGCATGGGTCCACATGGATGCGAAACAGTGATTGTGGAGGATCTGACTTTCATAAACGTTTCCTATAACTAACTCCTGGTAAAAGAAATGCTCGTTAAACACAGAAAAAGGTGTTAATGGCAGTTTACCTGTAAGTGAGAGGAGTTTGCTAATTTTAAATGTGAGTTGGCTCTGCATACAAATATGTTTGAAGGAGGATGAGGGGTGGCAAGATCATATCAGACTAACCCTAATTATTGACACTTTCACTGGTAGAGGAGTTTAAATGACTGAATTAATCTAAACCTTTAAAGCAGGCTGTGGTTAGTCGGTGGTCAGCACCTATTAATATTAAATGTTTAAAATTATTTTATTCAGAACTGACCCTTTTTGTATAAATGCTGTGAGACTTCTTCAGTCTAAGTGCTGCTTTCTGAAGATATCAGTTAAATCTTTCAGCCTGGACATCAAAGTTGGATGAAACCAGACTTATCCTATCACCCATCACATAGAGATCTATGAGAACACTGCATCTAGAATCTGGTTCCTTGAGACAAATTAATAATATCCTTAAATGTGTTGAATGCCCTGATCTCCCTGCCCAGGATCAAATTTCAGGATTTTATTTCCTGTAGGCATTTGGTATTGATTTATTTTGTCCAGAACAATTTCAGAAATCTCAGTTAAGTGGAAAGCGTGGCTTAATTTCTGTTCCTTGTCAGAACAGTTATTCTTAGAGTCTGAAGGAAAGTGATATTGCTGATGTGCTAGTATATGCGGGACAGTTGCCACCAAGACCTCTGACCTTACAAATGTAACAATTATATGAGACAAAACACCTGCAGTAAAACCAGCACAAACAGAAAAATATAATCCTCAAGCTGTAATGAATGGAACAATAAAGTGACTGCATTGAAAATTGTTATAAAGTGATAATTTTCTAATAGTGCTCAGTAATGGAAGAATAAACTGCAGAAAATCAATACAAGAATCACATAATTGCACCAGTTGGCAACATATTATCAAAATTGCTCTTTTAGTAATGAATTTAAAATTTAAAAAATACCCCCACTACATCTTTTACTTTCAGCATTAGAGGATTTTTATGTCAATTTAACCACAGTCTAGATATAGTTAAACTTCATATTTATTAGATGTCTTTGCTACTCATTCTCATTCCTAATCTAGTTAAACTCAACCAAAAAGATTGGAAAATTCTTCTACTTCTCCATTTTGGTGATACTTCCTAGTAGTGACAGCAAATAAAACATTCAAATGCCAGAAGAGAGACCTGGAAACCATCAAAAGAATCTAGAGGGGAAAAAATAACAGTGGAACAGGAACATTTGAAATAGAGGGTTTCCCTGGCACACACAGCTTCTCAGTGATTCCCAATATTGTTTCACTCTCCCAAAGGCACAGAGCCCAGTGTCTGTGGCAGCTTTTTGTAGAAATAGTGACTCCCATCATGTCAAGGAGAAAGAAAGAGTAGGGGAAAAAAAAGACTATGCTGATGTTTTTTGCATTGTAGGTCATGTTGGAAATTTTAATTATTGAAATGAAATATTGAAGGACATATGGAAATGCTTGGGAAGATGAAAATGAAGATGAGAGGAAGCAGTCATGAAGAATTAATCATTCTGACAATATATATATATATATGCACACATATAACTCTTATTTTTGCCAACAGAAAATGACCAGGGAATCAGCAACTCAAGTGGAGGATGAAGAATGGAAAGAGAGAAGAAAGGAAAGCTTAAAATGATGCTATTGGAATGTACACAAATATGTGGTTTAAAAGCCTGTTTGGGAGAGGAACAAAAAGACTCAGCATAGGATGCTCTTGGCGTGAAGAGAAAGATTTCCACACTGGAAATGAGCAATGAAATCTTGCAGGAAGTAAGTGAAACAAGTTCAGATGCCAGACTTTTCTTTCTTCCATTCCTATTCCTAAGGTTTTTAATTATTATAGCTAATAATTAGCATGCAAGAGTTATGGCTTTCTGTGCTCAGGGAACTGCACAAAGCTGAGACGCATACATGGGAGGAGACGGCATGACAGAATTACAAGCCAAAGAATATAGTCAAAAGCAAAATGCATGGTAAAATGTTCGGTGAATGAACCTTTAAGTTTATTTTAATTACTTTACTTGTGAATTACTTTAACGTATCAGAACAGACTTCAGGACTAAGCAGAGACCTGAACAAGGGCTGTTATGCAAACTACACAATCAGATCCAGAGATATTGTGATTCAGTGTTACTGAGATATTAGAAGACAGAGACATACTTCAGCCCAGTTGAACAAGGCCCTGCTTGTGTAAGCCCTAGGTTACATATTTCAATTTCACTTTGCAGCGGTTCAGTTATTCACTCAGGCAAATGTACTCAAGCAACTGAATTGACTAAAATCAAAAAGTGTCAGCCATTTCCTTTTGATGATCTGCTCTGAAAAGTAACAGTACAGGTGATTAAATATCCTCATAAATATCCTCATATCCAGGGCTAAAAGCTGAATAATCTGGATGCATATTTTCTCTCATGTTCCCTTGCAACAGAACAGTGATTTTTACCCTTAAAGATTGTTGAAAAAGGATTTCAAACCATTCAATATCCAAAGAAGTTTATCTGCCTCTCCAATCTGAGGTATCGTGAGACAAAAAAAACTTGCATGGGCATTTTCTGATATGTTATGTTTTTTCTGATGAGTTTTTAGACATCCAAATATGGAAATGTCCTCCATTCTAATCTAACTCCCTCCTCATAAGATATAGCTTCATAATCCCATATTGCTATTGATGATGTAGATATGCTGCTGAAAATGGATTCCTGGACCTTAGTGAGAGGTGATAAGGCAGAAAGAAATGTGTCAGATTCTCAGTAAAGGAAAAAGAGTGAAATTTGTTTATTTTAGTTAATTTTAGTTATTTAGATAATTTTTACATTATCTGTCTCAGATAATGTAAAAGTAACACAGGGACTGAACCAGAGCTGGGGTTTGGAGGCTCAGGCTCAGATGTCCATCTGTATTTAGGTGATTCATTGACCAACACAGTTATATAATTTCCCCAGGCAAGGTGTCTGGGCAACCAGCCAGTATAGCCAAGAGTCTTAAACTCTAGATTACTGATTAACTATTCATTTACAGCTATTTAGGTTGAGAGTGATCTTGGACATGAGTGCAGAATGAAGTTTAATTTCAAGCATGCAGAGCTGTGGTGAGATGTCTAACTGTTCTTTCCCCAAACCTTGTAGGTGAGCCAAAAATATACCATTCCCTGTGGATGGGGTTGCTATGCTATTGTATTCTGTTCAGCTCCATCTTGTTCTGTGATTCTCACCTTAATATTTGAAACCATCCAGCTGCTCTGTATGACAGCCATACCCGTAATTTCTCTTGTCTTCCCAAGGGAAGAAATACAGATAAGGTTATTTTGGTTTTGGGATGTGAGTTTATAGTAAACACAGAGGTTAGAGGGAGAAGGAGGCTATTGAAAGCAGTTTTTAAAAGCCTTATGTTCCCCAGGGAGTATATTCTAGTCTCTGAGAAAATTTTTTGTCTTGGAAAAGTGCATTTTACTACAGCTTTTGCTCTTTCAAAAGAGTGAAAAACTGCATCTTCTAATTTTAGTGAATTTTAGTATGCCCTGGACCTCTTGAATGCTTAAAAGACAGCAATGTGCACTTTGAACTTGATTCAGTACCTTTGAAGCCAGTATAAACAAGAGAGGATGCAACTGATTGCATTCTTCTTCTGAGTCTTGAGAAATGCACGTTGCACAGTGCATTAGCACAGTGACACAGCTTCATTCCCAGATCTGTCTTGCTTTTGCTAAGATAAAGAATCTTAAAGAAAGCTGGAAATGAAGTAATAATTTCTAAAACTGCAGATGATAGGCCGTATTAGTTGCACAAAGAAAGAGTCTTGCTGAGCATAAGAAGCACTACAAAATACATGTGAGTATGAGTTTTTCACCAAATGAAGCTAAAATGTGGCTACATATTCCTTCTGCAGGACTTCACATACTCCCCCCTGAAGACCTGAAAGAAGGCAAAACAAGACTGTTGGGAGCAAGTGTCTGGAATCCAGCTTCCTTCCCTTGCTCACTGTCTCCCTCCCAGTTCCACAACTTCAGTGGGCCTGGCTGCAATCTGTGCCAAAGACAAAAATTATGAAAATCATAAACACAGTTCACTTCCTCTCTGCAGGTGCTACCAGGCTGCCATGAGTTCAGTCTATGAAGAGTATGTGTTCCCATGCACCGTGCTGGGAATACAATATTCACCCTGTTCATGTGGACAATTGTTATGGATAAACAAGGTTTAAAGACCTACAAAGACCTGATGTTTGTCAACAACACAGCTCTAGAAAGCATTAAAAAAACTCTCAAAGACTTTCTTATGAGACCCTGCAAGCAAGTTTCTGGCAGAAACCTTCCACAAATACGGCAAATATATAAATAAAAAAACCTAAAATTCACATATTTCGATCATGCTACTTAATACTTGACTAAAAATTTACTCCTCTTTCTTTCTTTGACCTCATAATGTGTTAAATTCTTTCTCCCATGCAACTAGCTGACTCTGAAGTATTTGCATATAGAAAATTTTCCTAAATCAGATGGGTTTAAAAATATAAACTGGAAGTTCTTGATAAATTTCATCAAGCTTGACCCCTAGTATTTGTTGTTTTACTGAAATATTTTCACCATAAATTAACACTTAAAAGTTTGAACATCTGCAAAAACAAACAGAACATTGTTTTTAGATTTTCTTCTGAATGATTCTTTGATTAGCTTTCCAATGAAGAACCTCGCTGGGAGTATAAGTAGGTATCTTTCTCTTTCCATCAAGCTCTTTATGTTTGGTTATTTACTTCTGCAGCTGTTCATGTTAAGATCTGCAAAAATTCACAGGGATCTGTGAGTGTGTGGTAGGTAATAAATCTGTCAAAGATTATCAAGGTTTGTGTATTTTAACATACTGTGATATGACCTTAATCTCTCTAAGTCTTAAGAAAAAGAAATTCTGTCTCTTTACAAAAGATCAATTATGTACATGAAGATAATGCTCTTTGTGACTTAATTCATATGTCGAACCTTATTTTTGCTGATGAATTCTTGACATAGACTGCCAAAAGGTCAAACAGGAGATATGTCTTTGTATTGTACAATCAGACAAAACCAGATATTTCCAGTGTTGCAGAACTGCCTCTTGAGATTCCTTTTCAAGCTGAAATTTTAAAATGATAACTAATAATTTTTAAATGATAACTAACACACATTAATGAAAGGAATAACTTTCAAAATTACTAACACTTGCCACAAGCAAAAATATTTTTTTGCATTATTGAAAGAATATTCAGATATGCATTATTTTGTTCTTTTCTGATCCTAGGCTTAGTGTAATTGTAGAGGTTTTACTGCCTTCATGTTTTACAAAATAATGATGATAAGCCTTAAATCCCTGCATAGTGCTAAAAAACAGGGAAAACTATCCTTCAGGAGATGAAAAAGAAATGAGACAATTTCTCCATGGCTCCATATAGTATCTTTTAAAGTTTAAAGGCGAGTTGGTCCAAGATTAACATTTAGAATATGGCTTCACACTCTTTCATCTTCACTGTAAATTCTGAAGATATCAAGGCTTTTGTCATGGTAGTTAATCTGCAGAAAAATAGTTAGAAATTCACACTAATTGTACTAGAAATATGTTGTTCTGATATTCCTATTATGACATTCTTCTCTTCGTATGAACTAGCTCTTTTCCAAGTGCACGGTCAAATCTGATCTGCGTCATATCACATGACAGAAACATCATAGATGTCTAATGGGACACAACAAAAATGACTTTGTCAATTGGGGTTTTTCTCCTCTCCTTGAAGGAAATGAATATTGGAACTTGCATCTCTGCATCTCTCTTTTCCCAATCATTAATTCACAGCTCATGATTTTAAGTTAATAACTGTCATTTTTTAACATTTACAAATGTGCATTTATTTTGGTAGTATTTTTGTGCAGTATTGTGCATTATCCCACATCTTATTGGAAATACGATAAATACTTATTTAAAAATTACTTCCATCTCTATTAGCTTATTAATAATGTATATCTAATATATCCTGTCCTGGAAACCTACTGAATTTGTTATGTTATGTCTTTAATTAAGCTAAGAAATTCAAATGCAAGCAGATATTTCTCTTTTATTTATGGTTCACTTTTGAAAAAAGGAAAATATTTCCCAGTAATGTGCAGGGCAAAAAGGGAAGCTTCTTATTTCTGCTATGGCTTTGCTGGTACTCAGCCACTGTTTCTACAAAGACACCATAAGAGTTTGATATCAGATTACCATTGCATTTTTTTCATATAATATTTCAAACATTAACTGTATCCATTTTAGGATAGAGGGTTTGTGCTTAAAATTCACCATTTCAATGTAAACAAGTATTTTGTTTCAGTCATGGATTACATTAGAAAAGTAGTTTCCAGATCCAGATCTACATGTTTCCAAATATTGAGTTCAACCATTTTGTTCCCTTTCTTTTTATTTTTTCCTGCAGGCTTCCCTATTTCCCAAACACCTCCAGTTTCTTACCTCTGATTACTGCTGAGGATGACTCCTAAGTCAAAACTGACTGTATTTCTCTCTTTTGTTTTGGCAGGACTATTCAGATCAGAACACCTCTTCTCCAGCTCACCAAGAAGTTTGAAGTTATAAGGCAGACAGACAATGCTATAAGGAAGACAGGCCCTTAAATAAAGACTCATAATTCATTCCACTTCTTGCTGAATTATACACACCAATATTGATGAAATCTGATTTACATGTAGAAATCTGATGACATGCAATTTACATATAGAAATCAATAAGCATATGGGATCTTACTGATCTTCAAACCCATCCCTCTGGTTAATACTTTGACAAAAATGGACTCTATATGTTAATCAAGTACTACTTTTTTCTGATTTATTCTCTAAAGATGGATGAAATAAAGATAAAAAAGTAAATATTCTCATACCACTGTTCAGACCCCACAAAACAAGGGTAGCCTTGAAGCACAACTTGTAGATGTATGTGTCTTTTCATATTTCACCTCTGTGCATCTCTGTATTTTATTCCTGAAATTCAAACTAATACCATATCCTTTAACACTAAATATTTCTTGTGTTGTACTTCTGGCTGAACATTTTTCTGTTGAACTCTCAGTGAACTTCTTCACTGAAGCTGCCCAAAGCTGAGCAGAATTCAGAATGGAGTGCACCTTTAGTCTACAGATCTTCTGCCTAATGGGATGGAAATAGAAATCCAAGACTATTCCACTGTTTGCAAATAAATGAGAGTTCATATAGAGAGAGTTCACTGCATCTGTTACAGGTAGAGTGAAAAAGATCTCATGGGAGAGACTTGAAAAAGACACAGAGGAATATTTAATGTTCAGAGTCAAAGGACTTAGGTGATGCTCTGCTCCACAGAAAAGCAAATAGTGAAATGGACACGGTCCTCAAGTGAGTTTCTTTGTCTTAAATCAGGTGTGTGAATGAATCAATGACATTCTCTATATCTGAGGCAAATAAGCAATATAAGCAAATAAGGCACCACTAATGTTTAGAATAGCCAGCCTAAAAGCAGTCTTAATGCAGACAAACACAAGTTTCAGGAATAAGTTCTAAAGGCATTTGCCTCAGGACTACTCTGATGTACCATTATGAAGTTGAAATTTAGAATTTCAGTCACGTATTTCATGTGTCTACAAGGTATTATTTCATACTAAAATGGCAATAACCATTTTCTGATTCACAAAAGCAGTGAAAGTCCTTTTCCAGGGAGTGGGAGATCACATTTCCACAACTCCTTTGTCCACCAAAAGACTAAAGGGAGTTTTCAGCATTCTTATCCTGAAGCTATGCCTTACTTGCCACCAGGGAATTAGGAACTGTCTCTAGTTGATGTTTAAGAAAAGTAAACTTCAGTTAACTCTTACAACTTGAGAGATCATTTCACTGTTTGTGAAAAGAGTGGTTGGATTGTTTCTATCAGTGAATGATAAGCAAATCTGCCATTGCTTAATCTGCAAGGAAATGTGTCAACTGAGTAACATGAAGGCTTCTGCACAATGCTGAGTCTTTAAACTGCTGCTGCAGCTACTAATCCTAGTGCCTTAGCAGTTTCCTTAGAGAAGTAAAAAAGCATTAGAAAACAGACAAAAATGGTTCAATTTAAGATGTCTATAAAATAGTTGTTCTTGGTTCACTGGAAGCCAATGTTTCTCATTGTTCATTGGAAAGAAGTGGGGATTTCATGTATAATGCTTTTCTCATGCTAGCTTCAACAGTAGAGGTGTCTGCAACTTAATGCTCTAACTCATATTTGTGTGAATATCCAGAAGAAATTGCATGTCCATTCATCATGGACAGCCTGCAGGCAATTGGTCCTGTTTCAAAACAATTGATGTGTGTAACAGATATCTATTACAGACCAAGAGCTAAATCTTTATTTTTCACAACCTCTTGTAAATCGGAAAGAATGCTGTTGTGACATTTAATGCATCTAGCTACTATGCTATTGTCATATTTTTACTTAGCATTTGCAATCCAGTAGTCCTAGAGGCACTGTGGGGACCTGAATTGCACTAAACTAAACATTCTGAAAACAGAATTATGGTCTCTACTGAAACAGCATGTAGTTAGAATACTTGTCTCCCAGGAGACACTAGAAAACTAAACTGAATGAACTCAATGTGTGAAAATAAACCATGTTTGTTAAAATATACGAAGCCCTTCAGGCTCCACCTAGGAAAAAAGTCTGCTTCTGCTCACTACCATTTAAACCATGGAGGTGCAACATTTTGGGGGGTTCCTGTTACAGTATCCAGATGAATGCAGGTGAATGCAATTCAGCTAGAATCCCTCTAAAAGATAAAGCAAGTCACTATTTGGGTTGTGAGACTTCAAGAGCTGAACTTGGAAAGATGTGTGAGAAGACTATAACAAGAGGTAAACAATTAGAAACACACCCTTCTGCCTTCAGTATATTGGATCCCCTGTTTATTTTCTGGATGGGATCTTTGCATGTGTATAACCTCTTTGTGATAATCTTGTATGGATTTACTGACAGAGTCAAGATGTGCGTGAGCCCCTTCCTAGCAGCCCCCAGCAGGACCGCCCGCTCAGAGCTGCTGATCTTCCATGGGTTCCAGCCAAACAGCCTCAGGGCATGCTCAGAGCATGTGAGCCCTCTCTGTGTGGTTAGAATCAGCCAGGCATACACAAAGTGCAGGTGATTAATGCTGTGCTCAATGTGCACTTCATATAAAAGAAGTCCAGTGCATCCCAAAGGTGTTAGATTCTCAGAGCTGCAGAGTCTTCTTTTCTTCCCAGATATACTGAATGAAGCAGGGGAACCACATTAATGAGAATGTGGTTATAGCTTGGTGTAGGACCCTGGCCTGCATCCAAAGCAATGCGGCCAGCAGGGTGAGGAGGGGCATTCTGCCCCTCTGCTCTGGTCTCAGGACACCTCACCTGGAGCACTGCATCCAGTTCTGGAGCCACTAAGCTAAGAA